ACGTTTCGGGCCTAGACCCTTCATCAGGAAAAAAAAAGGGTTTAGGCCCGAAACGTCAGCCTTTCTGCACCTATGATGGTGCTTGGCCTGCTGTGTTCATCCAGCTCTGCACCTTGTTGTCTCGGATTCTCCAGCATCTGCAGTTCCTACTATCTCTTATACCGCATTTGCCTTATCCCATGGCTGCAACAAATCTAATGGAAAGGTGCTGAATTTCAATGTAGAGATAGAGAGAGAGAAAAAGAAAGCTGAGTGCAACATTCAGGGCACTGGCAGGAGTGGGAAGATAAATGTTGTCATCCTCAGAAAGAACAGTAGGTTAAATTTCAGGGATACACTTTGACTTCTCATCTGGCACTTCAACATGTCTGAAATCTGTTGCAGAACAGATTGCTGGTCTGCTGTGGCACCCTCCAAAAATCTTTGGGCACTGAAGCTGAGCTTGTAATAATAATCACCTGAGTTTGCAAAACAGTAAGCTAACCTTGCAGTACAGAAGTCTGAGTCAGCCTTGCATTATTGGGTGGCTCCTGCTTTTGTTGCAATGGAAGCTGACACATCGACTATCGTTTATGTATGGCATTACAGCACTATTAGCATTCACTGCATACTGCTAAATAATGTCAATTAGCAAGCAGCAGGAAACAGGAAGCTGCCTGCTTCACAAGCAATGGGTAAGGTCAATCCCATACCATGATCCACTTGGCTGAAACAATTTATGAATATGAAAGCATTAGCAAATTACATGAATAAGAATGTCAAAACTCACTAGTTCAATACAAGTAAAGGCAAAATTGACATTATTGAGATACAGTGGACTTTTACCACGTTTTTAACTCACTTCAGAAATGGCTGAGGATTGTTCAATGGCTGAAGAAGAAATCATTGTTCTAGTTCTCTTCATTATCATCCCTGATCTTAATGTGACATACAACTAAACCCTAACTATTCTTAGCATAAAATAATAAATACCTGTTATTATACAAGGAAGAGAGTGGATCCCAGTGTTTACAGCCAATAGAGAGGCTTCGTAAGTATCTCGTTCATCTGTTGGTAGGACCTGCTCAACTCGTTGGTCCATTGACACAGTGAGAACCCAGTCCCTAATTTCCTCACGTTTATCATCCTGTGGAAACAAGAACATTTAAATACTTTTGATAGGCAAGGAATTGTGAAATTCAACATTCACTTCCTTGGAAAATAACGTCAGAAAACCTCAGCATTCTGATCAGCCACAGTTGGCTCAGAACACCAGTCAATTGAAAAACAAAATTTGCTTGGTCATGTGGAACTGAAGTTGAAGCTACTTGGCATGTAATCATCAGGACCGAAATGCAAGAAAACCAAATTCAGAAAGGGAGGAACAGTCTAAAAGCAAAAAACAGAGTGCTGTGTGGTTGAAGGATGATTGGTATGGCAATGCAACATGAACTGTTAACTATTAATCTTACTAACCGTTAACTGATTAAATTCAAATCAGGCAAGTAGACTCTAATCTGGGATTGGTTCTCTATAGTCTTTCCCGAAGGGTTCAATGAATATACAAATTCATTTTGCTCACAAAGGCACCTATGATAACCCTGATAAGGGAAGCTGTCTCAAAGAAATTTGAGCAATAGTTTCAGCTGGCTATTTCTTGTTGCTACTTTGCAATAAACATAAACATTGGGTCAGCTGCCTCCCAATGCACAACAATGGCTCCAGCTGCCAGTCAAGTTCCAAAATCCAGAGTTTAAGCTTACGCAGCTGATGGCAGCCCCACCATGAGCTCTCTTCCCTTGTAAGCAACTCCAACTCTTTCCACAGCTAATCTGAGGCAGAGCCAGATTCTGGTTGCAGCTTTGTGGTTGTATTTTCAATTCTGAACCAAAAATGAGAATTCAAACATACACTGTATATTATAGGTACACCCACAGGAATTTTCAGATCCTTAGCTAATTCAGATCCAAGAATGGAAGACAAATGGGCTCCCAGCACTGGAGGACCAATGGAAGATACCCTAACACGCAAAGATCAGTAAGCCCACTGTGAAAGTTGCCAACCTGAAGTCAGAGACTGCAAGGGGCCAGTGAAAGCAAGTTTACTTTTATGTTTTAAGAAGCCACACGGTTGCCCCGACGCAGCTTTGGAAGGTTACCTTCTCTAAGGGATATCCAGGAGCTGCAACTGTGGCCCAGAAGCCATCATGCATCTATGGTGTAATCTACAAAGTCTTTAACTTTCTGCCTGTCCTGATCTTAGCTACCTATATTACTGACTAAAAATTCCAGTTGGTGACGGGAACAGGACTACAACAATTGGCCTCATTTGGCTGCTGGCTGCTTCCCAATCCTGAGATATCCTCATTCAAAAAGGGTCAGAATCAGAATCATGGCGTTGAACTGGTAAGGAAGACCGGTGGCACGAAATTGCATGCCTTGCCCATGTCCGATCCAGATCTGCACTGTTTTGAATACCAAATCTTTGCTCTGAAATGAGTATTTGACCACATAACCACGCCATTACAAAGGTCCTCTATTTCTGCACCTTTAGCACCACTAAGATAGCTCTGTCTCAGTTTATTTGTTGCTGACATCCTCATACATGTCCTTGTTAACTCAGCACTTGACTGCAGTCCACCCTCTGTAATATTTAGATTATCACAGATTTGTTGTCTCTGACCTAACTTGCATCAAGTTCCATTCCATTATTACTTGTGTGCTTGTTGACCTACATTGACCTCTAATCAAACAACATCTTGCTTTTAATATTCCCATCCTTGCTACTCCTATCTCTGCGATCTCCTGAAGATATACAACTCTCTGAAGTATTTGCGGGACCCTAACTTTAATTCCTTCACCATTGGCGCCTCTGTCTTCAACCATTGAAGTCCCTCGTATGGAATTAACCTTCTAAGCCACTGCCACCTTCTTTAAGATGCTATTTAAAATTAACCTCTAATCAAGTTTTTAATAATTTGTTCAAGGTTCTCCTGATGTGGTTCAGTGTTAAATTTTGTCTGCTAATACTTCTGTAATGTTTCTTGTCACATTTTATTAGGTTAAAATTAAATACAAATGGTTGTTAACGACATAGTTGTGGATTGCTAAGAGTTGCAGAGAACATAGCAACATCAACAATTATGAATAAATGCCAAATAATTTCATTTGTGCAACAGAGGGCAAAAAGATTTGCTTCAATGAAGGGTTTTCAGTTCTAAAGACATTTTATTCCCCAATTTATCCAAAATCATGTCACCCAATTCAAATAATGTTCAATCTAGGCATTTTTTCAACAGAGCTGTTATCACTCAAAAACAGACTAAAGCTGCATTTGGGAAGGAAAACTTCATTAAAAAATTTCAATCCAGAATTCAGATCTAATGTACAGATATGAAATAATGATACTGTTGCCAATAGACATATCATATATTGCACAGACCAAGGACATTATATTTTGAACTTACCAAAATATGTTGTTTTATAGGGACGGGTATTTCAAATGGAATATCTGTATCTTGAAAATCAGAATGATCAAGTGCATCAAGATTGCCCTCCTCAATTGCCTGCAAATATAAGATGCACAAGAACATTATGATAATCCTTAGTCACTACTTTGAAGACTATTTTATTCACAGGCCCTATTGTATCTAGTGTTTTAACTTCAAGGCAAGAACAAAGGTAACAACAACAATATCAATTTACATTTATAAAGCACTTTTAACATCACAGAACCATCCAAAGTGCTTCACAGGAGCATTATCAAACAAAATTTAGCAACCACCTACATAAGGAGATATTAAGATGAATGATCAAAAGTTCAGTCAAGGAGGCAGGGCGGCACGGTGGCTCAGTGGTTAGCGCCAGGGACCCGGGTTCGATTCCACCCCCCCGGGCGACTGTCTGTGTGGAGTTTGCATATTCTCCCCATGTCTGCATGGGTTTCCTCTGGGTTCTCCAGTTTCCTCCCACAGTCCAAAAATGTGAGGCTAGGTGGATTGGCCATGGAAAATTGCCCATAGTGTTCGAGGATGTGTAGATTAGGTGGATTATAGGGTGATGGGTCTGGGTGGGATGCTTTGAGAGCTCTGAGAGTCGATGTGGACTTGTTGGGCCGAAGGGCCTGTTTCCACACTGTAGGCATTCTATGAGAAGATAAGCTTTGAAAAGCAGTTTAAAGGCCAAAAGAGAGATTTAGAAGATACTGAGGATTAGGGAATTTGAGGCAAAGTTTAGGACCTTGGCAACTGAAGGTGGAGTGATTAGCAATGCAAGAGTAACCATAATTGGAGAACAGATTTCTCAAAAGGCTATAGGGTTGAAGGAGGTTAGACATAGGAAGGAGAAAGATAATGTAGAAATTTGAAAACAAAGACAAATTTTAAATTCATTCAATTAAATACAAATGGTTCTTAACTGGGAGACAATCTAAGTCTACAAGCACGAGGATGATTGGTGAACATGGGCAGCACAGTTTTGGTTAGCTTCAAGTTTATTTAATGCAGAATGTCAGGGTGCCCAAGATTTGTTGGAATAGTCGGGTTTAGAGCTAACAAAGGACATAAATGCAAGTTTCACCTGCAGATGAGTTGAGCTGACATGGAAACAAGCAATCTTATGGAAATAGGATTGTTAGTGAATACGTAGATATATGGTCAAAGGCTCAGACACATCCCAAAGTCAAATATGCACCAAGATCAAGAACAGTCTGGTTCAGCCTCAGACAGTTCCTAGAACCAGGGATGGAACCTATAGCTATGGGATGGAATTTAGGTATGACAAAATTTTTGTGTATTCAGTATTGGATGTCAGACAAACAATCTGACAACTTGGAGAAAGTACAAAAGTTGAACGAGGTGATGGTGACACAGATTTGGATTTTACCATAGAATCCCTACAGTGTGGAAACAGGCCCTTCAGTCCAACAAGTCCACACCGATACTTGGAGCATCCGACCCAGACCCATCCTCCTACAACCCACCTAAGCTACATATCCCTGGACACTATGGGGCAATTTAGCATGGCCAATCCACATAACCTGCACATCTGTGTACTGTGGGAGGAAACCAGAGCACCCGGAGGAAACCCATGCAGACACAGGGAGAATGTGCAAACTCCACACAGATAGTCACCCAAGAGTGGAATTGAACCCGGGTCCCTGGTGCTGTGAGGCAGCAGTGCTAATCACTGAGCCACCGTGCCGGGTGTCAGGTTTCTACTGCATCACAATACTGAAGTGACTTCTGCTGAAACCACAATGACATTCTTTGTGGCTGTGATTGTGAGACACTAATTGTACTCACTTTTCTTGATTTATATGCAACCTTTGACACAGTTTATCACATCATCCTCCTCCAGTGCTTCTCTGTCTTCTGAATGGGTGGAATTGCACTTGCCTGTTTCCAGTCATATGTATCAAATTGCAGCCAGAGAATCCCATGCAATGGACTCTCTTCCCATTTCCTTAATGTTGCAACAAAACCCTGGAAGATCTGTAGAAACTATGTCTGACCCTGTCCTATTGTTGTCCCTCGCCAACATCATCTGAAAGCAGTATATTTCTAAATATGCCAGTACGTTTCTCATGGGAAGTAACCAGTAGCAGGAATAGCAGCAGCTCAGTTGTCCCTCAACTGGAGGAGGATATGATGAATTTAAACAACTTAAACAACTGAGGTTTGATTAGGGACCAATTTCTTGGCAGTTGGCATTTTTCAGTGAGATGTTTGCCTCTCTGTGACTTCCTGGGAAGTACTAGAGCTGGATATAGAGCTCTATGGCGCAAGACGTGTCCATCAGCTACTCCTGTGGTCCCAATGTGTTGATGGTTTGGCTGCTTGGTCCCAGCAAAAACCAACGGACACTCTACTGCTTCCCTTGCAGCTTTAGCAGTGATCTCTATATTGGTGACATAGAAGAGGCTGCAGAGCTGAGGCCCTCTGATGGCCTTCAGAGTGGAAAGCCAGCTGCCATTGTCATTTTCCTGTCAGCCAATTCTTCACTGTCTCTTCCTGGTAACATCATAGGTCCACCCTTCTATCCCAGCAAACTGCTACCTGAAAAACTCTCCGACTTTAAGAAGATCCCGTCTAGTGGATGCAATTCAGATGGTCAGATTGCACCTCCTCTTGAAATCTGTTCTTCACATGGCTAAATGTAATGGGATCAGGGATGAATCTTACATGACATACTCCCATCAAAGTTCCAGAGGCACAGTCATACAAATTCTAATCCAGGTGGAGGCATGTTACAATATTCCTCTGGTGGAAGTTGTGGTTGATGCCTCCGTGTCTGAGTCACTTAAAATACATTTTCTGCAATCCCCCTACCCAAACCTGACCTGGTTCTCTCCCTGAAAGCAGGCCCACATTATATCCTTGAAGTGGTCAGTATACTACATTTTGTTTAATAAAGTGACCTCAACAAAATGATGGCTATCTCAATCCTGTGTTACATCAGGTTGTACTGGACTACATACTACCATACAAGGACATTGGAGACTTCAACATAAGGCTGCTGCATGCCACCTCTGATACAGCTTCTGGCAGTCACACCAGTGATCCACTGAAATGATGAAACAATTTGAAAATAGCCTTAGGATCAGAAATATTGGGTTCATGAAAGCAACGCTTTAAATAGCTAGTTATTTTTTATTAAGCCATAACCAGAGGGCATGAAGAGAAATCCCAAAGAAAGACTGTGTTAATTCCCATATTTTCATGTTTAAATTCTGTTTCTTTTAGAAGGTAATCTTGCTGAACTCAAAATGATGAGGTTGATTTAATGGTTGCATTTCCAGAAGCTAGTGAACACCCTGCACTCTACAGACATTCAATTAATGTTGACACAAAGGAGACGAGGAGAGCTGTCTGCTTCCAGCCAGCTCTAGACAAAAGGAAAAACAAGATCCATTATGCAAAACAGATAGCAAGAACTGCAGATGCTGGAGTCAGAGACAACACAGTATGGAGCTGGAGGAATACAGCAAGCCAGGCAGCATCAGAGGAGCAGGGAAGCTGCTCCTTTGATGCTGCCTGGCCTGCTGTGTTCCTCCAGCTTCATACTGTGTTGTCTCCATTATGCAAAAATAAACCCTAAAGCTTTTCCTGTTAACTCATCACTGCACAATAGAAACAGGAAAAGGGCAGGTAAAGCTACATTTTTCAATTAACTATCTTTAAGTAGCCCAGTAACAACTGAAATGTCTTGCCACTTGATTGAATTTGGAGCTGGGTGAATGGCTTAGATACATAATTCTGCGATTCTAAATCAGCTGCAGTTTGACCTTCAGAGGGAGAGCAGGACTCCAGACAGCCTGCCTTGGCCTCTTCATCTGTGTCTCCAAGTTTCAGTTTGGAAGGAAGTCTGCACTTTACCTGCAAGATGGAAACTTACTGAGCCAGGTCACCAAGGAAACTATCATTAGTCACTCTGGGAAATCGTAACTCACGTGAACTGATTTTTAACACTTCTGGATTTACCAAAACTTGTAATCTGTAACCTATCTCCTCTTCTGTCCTGTCTTCTTTAATTTCCTGAGTGCTGTGCATGTGGATGGGGTAGTAAAACAATTCCCCCACAGATTTAATTTTTATTTAAATAAATAAACCCTATCTACCCTAAAAGTTTTGCTGTGGGTTTATTTCAAAAAAATGGAATCTGAAAGCCAGGATTTAGGGAACATCGTTTAGTCTACCTCAAAGAATGGGAGTAAAAAAGAAAAGACACAAATAATATCTTTGTGTCTCAACTTAAGAGGGGAAAGGCAATCATAATTTAAATTCACCCCATTCCCCTACTGTCCATGACATTTACACTTATATTGAATTGCAGAGCAAAATTTTCGAAATGACATTAATAATAGACTGAAATTAAACAATCAGAGGACTTACATCGCAAAGATCCAGGAAACGATTCAGGAATATAAAAGCCATGTTCTCCCAACCAATTGCCTGTTTTATTATGGAAATAAAATGATCTTTTAGTTCACTGAAGTATAGTTAGTAAACAAAATTATATGGATGTAAAAACTTGCAAGAAAAAAATTTGAAAGGATGCCTTAATATCTCCGAGACAACAAGGTGCAGAGCTGGATGAACACAGCAGGCCAAGCAGCATCATAGGAGCAGAAAGGCTGACGTCATTTTTGTGACTTATTGCAGTTCTTGCTTCAGTAGCTGCCAGATTGGACATTTAATGGGGAGTCTAGGGATGACAGGGGTGTTTGTAGTGGAGAATCCCCTGTGTTATTACCCAGGAAGTAGAACATTTCCCAGGTAATTATCCAGGTAAATCAGTAGGATCTCTCCAAAGTCTCTGACTCTAACTAAAAAGCTGGAAACTTTTTGGAGAGTTCTTGATGAAGGGTTTAAATATCCAGAGCGATTCATGCATAGTGAGCATTCAGACTTCCATTCGGTCCTGATAAATTTCTCAATGAGTATGCCTTGTCACTTAAGATCCAGAGACCAGAAGATTTGGGCCTTTATTAACTTTCTGCTAGATACTAACTCAATAGTAGCCATGATGTGGAGGTGCTGGTGTTGGGCTGGGGTGGACGAAGTTATAAGTCACATGACACCAGGTTATTGTAATAGATCACAGAATCCCTACAGTGTGGAAACAGACCAATCAGCCCAACAAGTCCACACCGCCCCTCCGAACAGCATCTCACCCAGACTCATTCCCCTAATTTCCCATGTCTAACCCACCTAACCTAAACATCCCTGGGCACTATGGACAATTTAGCAAGGCTAATCCACCTACCCTGCACATTTTTGGACTAAGGGAGGAAACTGGAGCATCCGGAGGAAACCCACGCAGACATGGAGAGAACGTGCAAACTCCACACAGACAAGGCTGGAATCGAACCCGGGTCCCTGGCGCTGTAAGGCAGCAGTGCTAACCACTGAGCCACCGTACCATCAAAAGGTTTATTTGGAATCACAAGCTTTTGGAGCACTGCTCCTTCATCAGGGTAAGTGTTCTGAAAGCTTGTGATTCCAAATAAACCTGTTGGACTATAACCTGGTGATGTGTCACTTCTAATTCAATAGCAATAGACTGTTCTTTCCTTTACTGGAAAAATAAGTGAATTTCAAGAAAAAAGTGTTTCAGTGCTGTTTCAGTTCAGAATATAAGTTTTCCAGAGTACTCAGTGAAGAATGTCCATGCATGGTATTTATTCCTTTTATTTTTAAAGTTTATTACGAGAACTATTGCTTTGCAGCAACCCTACAATACAGTGCATCTCTACTAAAAGCAGTCATTGGTAAAAACAGAATATATACCTTAGCTGCCATGCCAGCCTCATAAAATGCTTTGTCAGCAGGGATGATGTCCGTGTGCCTCAGCAAAGAGATGGATAATTTTGCTGCAACCGTGTCCTGAAGTCAAGAGTCATTGAAAATATTTAGACATGCAATAGATTAAATAGCTTCCAGAAAGTCCAATTACTCTAAACAAACCTAGTGATCAGGCTACCCGCAAACAAAGCAATTCTTCATGCGTATTTCATCATTGAAAACACTAAAATTTTCTATAACAAGAACAGAAATTACTGGAACTGAAGTTTCTGAGGAAAGGTCACCGGACTCAAAACATTAACTCTGATTTCTCTCCACAGATGCTGCCAGACCTGCTGAGATTTGCCAATTTCTGTTCTTGTTTCGGATTTCCAGCATCTGCAGTTCTTTCAGTTCTGAAATTTTCCGTTTCAGAATCAATCTATCGCATAGAAACTGTTAAATTGACATTATGAAAAGCAAAAATTGAACCATTGATAGATAATTGGATTTTTTTATTAATTTATAAATCACAACTCTATAATAGGCACTGCAGACAATTGCTAACTTAGTTTTACAGCTATAAAAATCTTGTGAATTTGAATATAAAAATGATGCTTCTCACAGAAACGTTGTAGATGTTAGAAGTCAAACTGTTTAACAACAAAGCACTTAACAAAAGAAAAGTCACTTTTTAATGTCAGGATGTAGAAGTATATAAACTTTGATAAACACTATCTTGGGTCATCATACACTAACATAATCTTACCAGCTGGTTGACTCCCAGTGACGCTGCACGAGTAGCATAATAGTGGGAAATCAGCAGCATTTGCTCAAACTCTTCATGAGCAGGAGAACTGGCCTCCGAAGATTTAACTAGATTTTCACACTAGAACATTACAAAAATACAACCCAAAATTGATACACTGTTTTCATCTACAGGGCAAATTGAGACAAAACAGGCCACAGAATTGAGAGTGTTACATTAGAAGTGCTATCTACAATATCGCAGATACAGTGACACACCTTAAATAGGTCATATTTCTGACTTCATTGTGGGATGGAGGGGTGGGAATGGTATGGGAATGATCAGAGCAGGGAGTAGTTACTGAATAAGCAGATTCAAGTATTATACAATAAACTATAAGATTGCAAACGCAGACAAGTCTTGGAAGGCAACAAAGTAAAATTGGAGGACAGAGTCTTGGAAAGTAATTGTCATTGGAGCCAGGTACAAAACTAGGTTGGTGGACTAGGAGTAGACCTCACATCTCCCATTTATAGGTGCTAAACCAACAGATGAAGCAAATAGTAAATCTAAAAAAAAATTGGTTATTAAATTTATAATTTAGAATATCAGAATGTTAAACTAGTATACATCTTGAATCTGAACTTATTGAAGAAAGCCCTTTCCTACAGTCAAATAAGTTATAAAGATAACAAGAAAAACATTAGAACTCTGCTGTTTTATAATAATGCAAAGACCTTTCTTCTCATTTAAATTCTCTTCCCCACCTATCTGCCTTTTCTATTTGTTTGCCTTTAAAATTCTAATAATCTTTCTTTTATAAAAGAAGTTAGAATGCAAAATAAAATTTTCTGTCTGCCTGTCTCTATGTCTATCCCTTTCTTTTTTCCTGTAGTCTCACAAATATTAGAATTTTGGTCTCATTGCCATAAATATTGTGGTTTTGCAATTGTCAACAAACTAGATTGACACTGGTAGTGTCCAGAGGACCAGGCTCATGCTTTGGGGACATAGGTTCAAATTCCACAATGGCAGCTGGAGGGATAAATCTGGAATTAAAAGTTAGTCTCAGTAACAGTGGCCAGGAAGCCATTGTCAATTGTTATAAAAACCCATCTGTTTCACAAATACCCTGTAGGGCAATAAATCTGCCAACCTTACCAATTCTGGCCTATTTGTGGCCATGGATCCACAGCAATGGGATTAACTTTTAAATGCCCTCTGAAATGGCCTAGCAAGCCAATCAAATCAAGGGCAATTAGGATGGGCAACAAATCCTGGACTTGCCAGTAATACCCACATCCCATGATAAAAATAAGAATACACGATCTCTTCCCCTCATTGCCTCCGTCTCTCTTTCTCCCACCATTCTCACACATTCCAGTCTCACTTTTTCACTTTTTAATGTTTGTGTAATTGGAATGTAATTCATTTTCTTTCCGTACAGAAACTAAATTACAGTCAGCAAAATTTTTGGAAACATGTCCTCTTAATGCTTTCTTAACAAAAGCTTTGGTCCCAAAGCTGATAAAAACAAACAAATAATTTTCAAACTAGCTGACTGAACGGTACTGATTCATCCTGAGAAATTAGACGTACTCCACATGATTAGACAGCACAATCTAAATTCAGCTCACAGTTCTGGGCAAAAGGCTGAACTCCAGGCCTCTGCTTTTGAAGGGGAAAGGCCATTTAACAAAAATATTAAATGACTACATAAAACAAACTCCAATCGTTAAGTTTAATTATGTTATCGAGAATGCTGTATTTTACATCATTAAACACATATTTGTCAAGTTGCACATTTTTAGCTCAGGACAAAAACAGCAGAAAAAATGTCAGGTTATATTTAAAGAATAAATTATCCTTGGATAGTGGTCACAAATGTGAACTGCATCAGAGTTGAGAATATTATTATGTGAGGAGGCTGTCATCTGGGCTCAAACAGGTCGAGATAGCTGAATCACAATCAAGACAATCATGCTGTGCAGCAGTCATTGTATTTTTCTTTATACGAGGAGATCAAAATGATCTCACCTTTATTTATAAAAAAGATGAAACACATTTGTTCTGAAATATTTTCACCATGGTCTTTTACTCTGGATTTATGTTCAAAGAATATTTGAAAAAGCTTTTTCAAAAATTGATAGAATGAAACAATTTTAATTCTAATTGTCTGGATTTCTATCTAATTCCAAGAATAAAGAACAATGATGCAACACTTTCTGACATCCAGATGTTGGTATAAATCACAATTTGTTTCAATATTATTTTTCTCATATACATAATTGTTGCACTAACCAGATTGAAGAGTACATCACGAAGATCAGCCCATGTCCTATATGCATCTGCAGTATTTTTATCTGGCATGTTTATAATATCCATAAAAATCCGTTTGTAAATGTTAAAATTCTGCATATAAAAGGAAAAGAGTGAAACAGATCACAAAACTAAAGCAATGAAAGAATACTAATTTTTGAGAATCTTTTCCATTTTTCAAAGACTTACATAGAAACTTTAGGAGCAGAAAACAGTGATGTGTCTCATTATTAAGCACATGTTATCATTGAAAAAAAATCTCATAGGCAAAATATTTGAGATGGAAGTGTGCAATGCCCCGGGGGTTCTGCTTGATCCATTTGAATGGCAGGGATAGACTAAGGTAGTTTACAGCTTCTGGCCAGGAAATATCAGGAAGCTTACAGGCTTCCCTGCAGGGATTGATGCAAGTCACTGGGAAAGCTCTGGAGGAATTTGCAAACCTAGAGTAGGAAAGGAGAGATAAGCAGTAATGACTGACAATTGCTTTGTGAGATCCAGAGGAGCACTCTTACTGTGTTTAGGAATGGAAAAATAATTGTAACAGTTATTCATTGCTACTGTGGGAGGTAAGGGAGGAAATAGCTGGGGCCTCAGACGAGGTTCCAGAGGACTGAAGAATTACCAATGTTGTTCCTTTGTTTAAGTAGGGAAACTGAGATAATCCAGGCAATTACAGACTGATGACCCTGATATCAGTGGTGGGGAAGGTGTAAGAGAAGATACTAGAGAAAAGATTTATTCACATTTAGAACCAAAGGACTTGTTAGTGATAGGCAGCAAGGGATGGTGTGTGGAAGATTATGTATCAGCAACTTGACTGAGTTATTTGAGGTGACAAGAATGATTGATGAGGGAAGGGCAGTGGATGTTGTCTACATGGACTTTAGTAAGAGGTTTGATAAGGTACCCCACAGCAGGCTGGTACAAAAGGAACAGTCTCATGGAATCTGGGATGTGCTGCCTAGATGGACAAAGAACTGGCTTGGTCATGGAAGACAGAGAGTAGCACTGAAAGGGTGATTTTTGGAATGGAGATCAGTAACTAGTGGTGTTCTGCAGGGATCAGTGCTGGGATGTTTGTTGTTTGTAATATATATAAATGATATGGAGGAAAATATAGGTGGTCTGATTAGTAAGTTTGCAGATGACACTAAAATTGGCAGAATTGCAGACAGTGAGGAGGATTGTCAAAGAATACAATGGGATATAGACAGATTACAGATTTAGACAGAGAAATGGCAGATGGAGTCTAATTCGGACAAATGACAGTAATGCATTTTGGAAGATCAAATTCAGGTGTGTATTATACAATAATGGCAGAACCCTTCGAAGCACTGACATACAAAGGGATCTGGGCGCAAAGGTCCACAGATCCCTGAAAGTGACAACACAGGTGAATAAGGTGTTCAAGAAGGCATACACTACGCTTGCCTTCATTGGCTGGGGCATGGAATATAAAAGCCAGCAAGTTATGTTACAGCTGTATGAAACTTTAGTTAGTCCATATTTGGATATTGCGTGTGGTTCTGGTCACCACATTTCCCGAAGCATGTGGACGCTTTGGAGGGGGTGCACAGAAGGTTTACCAGGATATTGCCTGGTCTGGAGTGTTTTAGGTATGAGGTGAGGTTGGATAAACTTGGATTGTTTTCTCTGGAACAATGGAGGCTGAGGGGTGACCTGATAGAAGTCTACAAAATTATGAGAGGCATGGATAGGGTGGATAATTAGTGGCCTTTTCCCAGGGTGGAAAGATCAACTAAAAGAGGGCACAGGTTCAAGGCAAGAGGAGGAAAGTTTAGGGGAAGAGATGCATGGAAAATCTTTTACACAGTGGGTGATGGGTGCCTGGAATGCACTGCCAGTGGAGGTGGTGCAAAAAAGCACATTAGCAATGTTTAAGGTGTATCTTGATATACACATGAATGGCAGGCAAACATAGGGATAGAAACTACGCATGGGCAATAAGTAAAGGGTCTAAATTAAGGATTAGGAACTGGCGCAGGCTTGATGGGCTGAAGGGCGTGTTCCACTGTTGTATTGTTCTTTGTTTTTTTAAAGGTCTCTATGACTGGCCTGCTGGTTTTACTGAGCCAAATGTCTATGACTCTATTATAATATCCACGATGGATGCTGCACCTTGTATGCCATTAAAATTATTCTCTGGTCCTATACACATCATAGGATCTCAATTTACATCTGCAGCCCGAATTAAATAGCCAAAGCCAGCGAAGGAAAGCATGAGCAATGCTTGTATTTTTACTCCTGTTCCACCCAGTTTCTTTTAGGTATAGAGAGTTAAAAATTCCTATTTCTTTTTCTGCACTATATGTTTGGGCTGAAAACTTGATTCATATTTTCCATTACCAAGCTTACTGCTTCCTACTACTGTTGAATGCTATTATTTCTAGCAAACTGTTTCACATAGTAAAGTTTTTAAAACAATAGTCGAGGATAATTTGCTTCAACAATTCTCTAGTTTTTATTCATAGTCCCAAATATTTTAAACAATAGTGTACAAGTATTGATATGAATCCTGCAATCCCTTAAAATATTATTTTAGAATTGAATAGAAATGGTTTTCACAGCTAACACTCATTCAATAATACCTCACAAGAAAACAGTTGAAAAAATTTATGACGACTGAATTCCTCTTTGATTTCACTTACTTGGGTATTGGCAGGAGCGCCGTGTTGAACATACAGATTTAAGGCCTTTTCAGTAAGACCTTCTTTGATAAGGTGTGTAACATATAGAGCCACATACTTGTGGAGAATTTTGTAATTCTAAAACATACAGGAGAGTTAATGCAAGATTTAATATACAGTCAAAGTTATTGGAAACTCAATACAGAAAACTTAAAGGTATTTCACACATGTGGATACAAATAAAAGTTTCTGCCACTGCTTAGTTTTCAGTATATATATAAAGACCTGAAATAATGCACAATTTATAGCACAGAGACAAGCCAATTAGCTCAACTGGCCTATGTCACCATCATCATTGGCAGTCCCTCGTAGATGAGGATGATTGTTTTTCACGCTCAGGGTGAGTCCATGGGAGGCTGTACAGTAGAATGCAGCTTCTGCAGACACTACTATGCTTGGGGCAGAACGTGGTCATGGAAAGGGGTAGTTGGGGCATTGGTGTGGCAGTGCACTCCTCATGCTGTTTTCGCCTGGCTTCCACTTTGTCCCTGACAGCAAGTCATGAGGTACTCGACACCTTCCCAGATGCTTCTCCTCTACTTTGGATGGTCTAAAGCCAGTAATTTGCTGGTGTCAGGGGGAATGCTGCACTTTGCCAGGTGAGGCCTTGAGGGAACCCCTGAAGCATTTCCTCTGTCAACCTGGGGCTCGACTGCCGTTTCAGAACTGGGAGTACAGCACCTACTTGGGAAGTCTCGCATCGGTCATGCAGATGATGTGCCCACTCCATCACAGCCTATCAAGGGTGGTCATGCCTCCATGCTGGGCATGATGGCCTGGTCGAGGATGCTGGTGTTGGTGCTTCTGTCTTCCCAGCGATTTGTTTGTTCTTGCACAGGCAGCATTGGTGGCACTTTGAGGTGTCTGCTGTAGACAATCAACATCTCAGAGCCATTTAGGAAGGCAGGAACCACCACAGTTTTGTCTACCATGAGCTTGGTGTCAAATCTGATGTTGTTGTCCTCGAACACCCTTTTCCTCAGGCGGCAAAAGGCTGTGCTAGCACACGGCAGACTGTGCAGGATCTCTTCACCATAACTGCTTTGGTCGACAGGACACCCCCAAAGTATTGGAAGCAACCAAGATTCTCTAAAGCATCCCCGTGGACTTTGACGATCAAGGGTTCACTCTGCAATGCTGGGCCTGCTTGGTGAAGGACCTTTGTCTTGCGGATTTTAAGGGTGAGACCCATGCTCTCATATGCCTCTGTAAAGGTGGTCTGGAGTTCGTCCTAGGAGTTTGCACATATGCAAGCATTATCCATGTACTGCAGTTTGATAACACGGGTTGGGGTGACTTTGGTTTTGGTTTGAAGGCAGCGGAGGTTGAATAATTTCCATTGGTTCTGTAGGTAAGCCCCACTCCAGCTGGGAGCTTGTCGGCAGTGAGGTGAAACGTTGCAGCAAAGTAGACTGAGAAATAGCATTGGCGGGATGATGCAGACCGCCTGACACCAGTCCAAATGGGGAATGGATTGGTGGAGGAGCCATTTGTTATTACCACGGCTTCCATGTCATTGTGGAGCAGGCGAAGGATGGAGACAAACTTCACGGAGCAGCCAAAACGGAGAAGGACGCTTCATTATACATCCCGGTTCACAGTGTCAGAGGCCTTTGTAAGGTCAAAGAAGGCCATGTATAGGGGTAGGTTCTTTTCTCTGCATTAGTTCTACAGCTGTTGCACAGTGAAAATCATGTCCATTGTGCCCCTTCGTGGCCAGAAGCCACACTATGATTCCAGGAGGGATTCTTCAGCTACAGAGAGTAAACAGTTGAGGAGGACCCTGACGATGGTTTTTCCGACAGTCGACAACAGGGAGATTCCCCTGTAGTTACCACAGTCCGAATTATTCCCTTTGTTGAAAATGTTCACGACTGTGACATCTCGGAGCTCTACCCAGATGATCTCCTCCTAGACAAGGCAGAGAACAGGCCTTCTACCACTATAAGTATCTATTGCCTTCCTGGACCCATCGTGCAAAAGTTAAATGAAACAGTAAGGTCTTTTGAATGAATAGTTTCTTGAGGAATAATTTGAAGCTGCTCTAGTAATTTTCACAGAGTAATTACTAATTTTTATCAAATTCTTTTACAATATGACAGGAAGTACACTCTCCGATATCACTTTAAACGGAATCAAGAACAGGGGCCCAGAAACTGATGAAATTAAAACACTGATGCCGTGATAAAAATTGAATTGCAATAAAAATAATACTGCTGGCTCAATTTAGGAAGTCTTTGAAGAACGAGTTCTTTATTACATGGCTTTAATTAGCAGAATTACTTTACAATAACACAAGTAAAACTCTACCAGTTTACAGGTCATGAACTTTGGCTCACCATAAACTGGAACTTTTATTATTTTGTGGGATAAGTCTACTCAGAGGGTACGTTTACAGCTATAAAACTTATAACTATGATGACACACTTTCCGAAAGAACTTATTGCATTTTTGTATAAACATCTACCCTGGGTAGTATTTATCAACGCTTTTAAAAAGCATTGCCCTGTAATAAAATACTTTCTAGTTCCTTCAGATTGAAGGTCATTTACATAAAGAGAATTTCATATTATATAAACAAACAAGCACTTCTTTTTGTTAAAATTAAATGCCAAAATGTTCAAAAATATTAAAAGGTGTAAATGTAACAATTATCATTTAATGAAATTTTGGTCAATATTATAGAAAATATTCTTAAAAAGGTATTTCTGTTCTACCTGCTTATTAGCAGTTTCAATGCATTTTTCCCATTGCCCTCGTTCAACATACATGTCAAGTGCAGCTATCACATCCACTCCGACCAGCTGAAAAAAGGTATAAAAGAAAATATATGAGAAATATATGGAGAAACCACCAGTTCAAGTTGGGTGAAACAAAACTAAAATGAATGTTTTACTTCACTTCTTTCTATTCCATGGTCCTAGTCTCTCTCTCGCTAATCCATAAGGAAAAGCTAATTATACGCTGGTCAAAATTTCTTCAAAGCTAAAATGTGTGTAACTTTCAACAGTGTAGACTGTATAATTTTAGCTCTCTTTTAGCTGGGATACTGGCATTGCACTTTGTAATTTGGTTTCTTATCAGGTTCACCACAATCAGAAAGTTTGTTGCCTTCTGAATTATTAATGTAGTGCTACAGCTGAATTCTTCCCATTATTTCCAGAGATTTTGTCACAGCAATTCAAACTCGCAACAGAATGAGACAGGCAGAGACTTCAGTATAGATCTTTAACTCATTCATTTTGGCAAGAACTCAGACTTAAGGCAGAGGAGATTATCTATTGGTAGTATGTATCGGAAGTCTACAAGCATTGAGAGCACCTTCCAAACCCGTGGCCTTTACCACTTAGAAGGATATGGGCATCAGATGCCTGGGAACATCATCACCTACAAGTTCCTCTCCAAGTCACAAGTCATCGCAACTTGCAGGCATTTTAATGTCCCTTCACTATACTGGGTCAAAGTCCTTGAACACCCTCCCTAACAACACTACGAATATACCTACATCAGATGGCAGCAGATCAAGACGGCAGTTTACCACCACCTTCTCTAGGGAAACTGGGAATGGACAATAAATACCGCCATTGGGAAAATGCTAGAAATGATTACTAAGGAATTCTTAATAGCACACTTAGAGCACAGTATTATTAGAACAAGTCAACATAGTTTTACCAAAGAGAAAACCTACTGACAAATTTATTGAAGATTTTTGAGGAGATTGGTGGTAGGCTAAGTAAAGGAGTACCAGTAGCTATAATATGTCTGGATGTCCAAAAGGCATTTGATAAGGTGACAAATAAAACATTAATAAGCAAGATCAGGGCTCATGGAGTCAGAGGTAAGATATCAGATGGATAGAGGACTGCTTAATGAATAGGGGGCAAAGTGTGGGCAAAAACAGGCATTTTTAAGCTGGCTGGCTGAGACTATTGGAGACAACAAGGTGCAGAGCTGGATGAACACAGCAGGCCAAGCAGCATCATAGGAGCAAAAAGGCTGAAGTTTCGGGCCGAGACCCGTCATCAGAAATGGGGGAGGGGAAGGGGGTTCTGAAATAAATAGAGAGAGAGGGGGAGGTGGATAGAAGATGGATAGAGGAGAAGATAGGTGGAGAGGAACAGACAGGTCGAAGAGGCGGGGATGGAGCCAGTAAAGGTGAGTGTAGGTGGGGAGTTAGGGAGGGGATAGGTCAGTTCAGGGAGGACGGACAGGTCAAGGGGGCGGGATGAGGTTAGTAGGTAGGAGATGGGGGTGCGGCTTGAGGTGGGAGGAGGGGATAGGTGGGAGGAAGAACAGGTTAGGGAGGCAGGGACGAGCTGGGCTGGTTTTGGGATGTGGTGGGGGGAGGGGAGATTTTGAAGCTTGTGAAATCCACATTGCTACCATTGGGCTGCAGGGTTCCCAAGCGGAATATGAGTTGCTGTTCCTGCAACCTTCGGGTGGCATCGTTGTGGCACTGCAGGAGGCCCAGGATGGACATGTCGTCTGAGGAATGGGAGGGGGAGTTGAAATGGTTCGCGACTGGGAGGTGCAGTTGTTTATTGCGAACTGAGCGTAGGTGTTCTGCAAAGCGGTCCCCCAGCCTTTGCTTGGTTTCCCCGATGTAGAGGAGGCCACAACGGGTACAGCGGATGCAGTATACCACATTGGCAGATGTGCAGGTGAACATCTGCTTGATGTGGAAAGTCTTCTTGGGGCCTGGGATGGGGGTGAGGGAGGAGGTATGGGGGCAGGTGTAGCACTTCCTGCGGTTGCAGGGAAAAGTGCCGGGTGTGGTGGGGCTGGAGGGGAGTGTGGAGCGGACAAGGGAGTCACGGAGAGAGTGGTCCCTCCGGAAAGCAGATAAGGGTGGGGAGGGAAAGATGTCTTTGGTGGTGGGGTCGGATTGCAGATGGCGGAAGTGTCGGAGGATGATGTGTTGGATCCGGAGGTTGGTGGGGTGGTACGTGAGGACGAGGGGGATTCTTTTTTGGTTGTTATTGCGGGGACGGGGTGTGAGGGATGAGTTGTGGGAAATGTGGGACCCTTTTTGCTCCTATGATTCTGCTTGGCCTGCTGTGTTCATCCAGCTCTGCACCTTGTTGTCTCGGATTCTCCAGCATCTGCAGTTCCCACTATCTCTGGCTGAGACTATTGGAGTGTTGCAAGGATCAGTGTTATGGGCTCAACCGCTTCCAACCTAATTAATAACTTAGATGAAGAGACAAAGAGTAATATACTAGAATACTAGATGTCACAAAATGGGTCATGTCTTCTGTGCTGTTCTTTTCCACCAGTTCTGTCCTTGATGACTGCTACAAGTTGGACAGGAAGGCCAACAAACTGCACAGTCAGTGGAAATCACCTCAGCATTGCTGCTGACCAGATGATGTTGCCAATGATTTCTGCAATTTCTAGATATGTACTCATAGGAGTCAAGGTTCCTTGCAAAGTTCACAATTTGTTAAATTGCACCCATTGTATAAAGAGATCACAGAACAGAAGGAATTAAGATCATATAAACTTACAAAGTATTTATTTCTTTAAATCCCTTCAATAACTTCTTTCTCATAAGAAAAAAAACACAGAAATCTAACATCTAAAGCAAACACTACTTTGATATTTAGACATTATATAAAGATTTATGGAATGTCTAATAAATGTATGTGATATCAGTTTGTGGTGCAAATCAAATTAAATTCTTACTGAATCCACTTTGCCTTGATTTTTCAAATATTCCTTATAGCGTTGATCAACATAGTCTTCATATCTGATAATAAAATAAGGACGGGAAGAAGAAAGCGCTTAGATTTAAATAGGATCTTGTACATTTTCAGGTTCAAAAGCACTTCACAGCTAATGAGTCAGCTTTGAAGTATAGTTACTAGTGTTTCTTACACAACTGCAACAGCCAAACTACATGCAGCACAACTCCGTCATTTACAATAAGTACGAAAAATTGATTTGGTGGTCTTGGTTAAAGGATCGATTGTGGCCAGGGTATGGTGAAATCTCCCATGGGATCTTTTATATTCACCTGAGCAGTACTGGGCTGCAATTCAACATTTCATTTGAAAATTACATCTCAGACATCACAGCAGCCTTCAACACTGCTCTAGTTATGATTCCCTAGATTTTGAGGGAAATATTTGTTTCCATAGATCTACTTCAAAGCAACAAATTATGTGATTCCCTATGTGCCGACAGGGGGCGCTACCTGCACTGCTGTCAGCCCACAGGGAATCAAGTAATGAACGTGGCATCACTAGAAGTGAAGTTATACAAACACATTTTTGCCCATATGTCCAAGAGTGGAAATTGAGTCTATTCGATCCTGTCTCAATATTAGTAGCACTGTAAAGTCACACACACTTTAGCAATATATGATTCATCTTTGAATTTTGTCAGGCTGTTATTTAAATTGATCCAGTTACAAAATTAAACCACTTTTAAGACTAAATAAGTTTCGGGAAAAACATTTGACCACACTTTGATTGCCTTATTTGGCTAATGGAAGCAAAGCAAAGGATACATCAATCTCTTCATTTCTTGTAAAATCATCATTTGACTTTAATTTAGTATTGTACTTCTCTGCAGCAGTACAGAATTATATTAGAGTTGTGGTAAAAAAGTTACATTTTGAAATACATATTTTAATAAAATTCATTTTTTTCTTTGTTTTATAATATGATATATAAAATAAAGCACTGGTGAAGATAATAATTGCAGAATAATACCACACTAATTCTAGACACGCAATCTGCAGTACAAGGCATCATGAAGAATTTTAGGATCAACAAAATAAACAGTGAAAAATCAAATGACAAATGAACTAGTGCAATGAAATATAGAATTAATTTAAAGTAACATATTGCTTGTTGATATGAATCAAACATATTCATAAATTTAAAAATCTCAAAGAATGTTGTCCTTTCATGTGCGTACCACAAATAAACTGTGGAATATAACTGTCTGCATGGCCCTAAAACATTTCTATTCATTGTATAAAGTAGAAAAAAAGTTTAAAAAGCCTTAAATAAGATTACACAAAGTAGAGCTGGTGGAACACAGCAGGCCAGGCAGCAGAAGAGGAATAGGAAAGCTGACATTTTGGGTCAGGACCCTTCTTGAGGGCCCGAACCGAAACATCAGCTTTCCTGTTCCTCTGATGCTGCCTGGCCTGCTGTGTTCCTCCACCTCCACACTGTACTATCTCTGACTCCAATATCTGCAGTTCTTATTATCTCTTAAAAAGCCATAAGTTTTGTAATTCAAAAACATTTAAAGTTACACTTTTCTACATGTTTGCATTTTTCTCATTGGAATAGCTGTGGCTCACCCTCAGACAATTAAGAAGTTAATTAAACTTTACTCCCGTGGGAAAGAATTCTAATTATTTGTAATTAATGAGCAGAAAATCTAGACAACGGTTATTTCATTATAATTGATACTCATTATGAGATTATGGACTTCTGATCATTCTAAAGTACTCATGGTGCTGAATATTCTGCAACTTATAAAGTCATTACCTGGGATCGAGCTCCTTTGCCACACGTTTAGCTTTGTTCCATTCTTCCCCTCCTATGAAACAGTCAATGGCGTCTTTAATGAGATCCATATTAAGGTACAGTTCAGCTGCCTGAAAATTCATTGTATTATAAGATAATTAAATAATGACCATCTCCAATAAAGGAAAGTCTGAAGCATCAGCCTTTGATATGCAATGGCATTACCACTATTGATTCCCCAACTATCCCCAACATCCTGGGAGGTACTGTTGACCAGAAACTCAACTGGACTAGCCATATGAATACTGTGGCTTCAAGAACAGTCCAGAAGCTAGGAATCATGCAGCAAGTAACTCATCTCCTGACTCTCCAAAGTCTGTCCACCATCTACCACGAACAATTCAGGAGAGTGATGGAATATACCCCATTTGCCTGGATGAGTGCAGCTCTACAAACTCAAGATGCTTGACACCATCCAGGACAAAGCAGCCCACTTAATTGATACCACATCCACTCACTCCACCACTGACATTCTGAAGCAGTGTGGACCATCTACATGATGCATTTCAGAAATTCACCAAAACCCCTTAAACAGCACTTTCTAAAACCACAACCACTTCCATTTAGAAGGACAAAGAGAGTAGATTTATGGGAACACCAAGTGCAAGTTTCCCTTCAGGCCACTCCCCATCCTGACTTGGAGATACATCACCATTTCTTCAGTGTTGTTGGGTGTCAAAATCTTGGAAATCCCTCCCTAACAGTATTGTGGATCTACCTACCGCACATGGACTGCAGGGGGGCACGGTGGCTCAGTGGTTAGCACTGCTGCCTCACAGCACCAGGGACCCGGGTTTGATTCCACCCTCGGGTGACTGTCTGAGTGGAGTCTGCATATCCTCCCGTGTCTGTGTGGTTTCCTCCCACAGTCCAAAAATTTATAGGCTAGGTGGATTGGCCATGCTAATTGCCCATAGTGTTCAGGGATGTGTAGATTAGGTGGGTTATGAGGGATGGGTCTGGGTGCGATGCTGAGGGATGCTGAGGGACTTGTTGGAACGAAGGGCCTGTTTCCACATTGGAGGGATTCCATGATTCTATGCAGCAGTTCAGGAAGGCTGCTCACCACCACCTTCTCAAGGGCAATTAGAGATGGGAAATAAATGCTAGGACAGCCAGCAATGCCCACACCACATGAGTGAATAATAAAAAGTAATATTAATTGTCCACGCCATGAGTTCATGGTAATTTAGTCAATATAACACAACATAAGTGTAAAGGACAACAGAGTTCTCACTGTGTCATTACCATTTAAAAGGAGTTAATCTAACTGCACAGAAATGTGATAAGGGTACAAATGAATTATGTTTGATTAAATGCACAATTTATTTAAATGTGATAATGAAATTGTAGGTAGGTAATTAAGATATATATTCCAATTTTTGAACTTTAAACAATGGTTATTATTAGTTGCATAATGTCAGACCTACTTCTTTTTAAAAATAGGGAAACCGATCTGGAAAAATTTGGGAAAGTGAACAGAATAACACCCATCGTATTGAGGACATAAATAGTACAGAGGATGTAGTTTTTGACTCAAGGATTTTCTCTGTGCAGTGAAATCTGTAAATTAGGCCCATTCAAGGGATATGAACGATGGGTACTTTGACTGTAGATGTCCTTATTTTCAAACTACATATTACAAACATAGCAAACTGGATCAGCCAAATATCCTGATACTCAATGTTCCTGTTGCAGCATGTCCTTTTTTTGTCCTTTCATGGGATTGATCCTGTCAGCAGGATCAGATTTCAGTTCACTGTCTGGATGTTTGGTTTCATTGTTCATTGACATCCCAAGGTAGTTTTCTATCAAGACAGGGAGGTCCCGATCCCAACATCTGCTATGTTGGCAGTCTGCACAGGATGGGACGACTGCTCTAAGTTTGAAGTACCTGACAAATCCCAAGCAAAGTAGGAGGTGGGGGAAATCTTGCAGACCTCTATCCTGGAACCATATTTCCTTATTCTGTATATGATAATGTTCAAAATGCTTGGGAGCTAGATTTGGGTTTTTAGTAAATAATCAGCAACTGAGTATGGATTGCAACTCTGGCTGGATAGGTCCTGAGGATCTGAGTTCATGATTTTTGTGATCACATGTAACCATGTGATTTTGCATTACACAATCTCTACAAATATTACTGGATTTAGCTCCCTGATAGTTGAGAAACTTTATTTTAGTTTCATGCCAAAATCTATTATGCAAGAAGTTCCAAGAACCAGGAGATTATTTTAAAGTATGGAGTAGGGCAAACAGAGGAAAAGGAGAAATATTCCATCCATCTCTCGTAACAAGCCCAAATCTCTGCCTCCAGCATTTTCTGCATCCATAGGTGCAGAAAAGATTTACAATGATTTTACTGCACTGGAGGGTTTGAGTTATAAGGAGAGGCTGGATTGCCTGGGACTCCTTTTCGCTGGAGCATAGGAGGTTGAGGGGTGGTCTCACAGAGATTTATAAAATCACTAAACCATACATAAGGTGACTAACAAAGACCTTTTCCCCGGGGTGGGGGAGTTCAAAACTAGAAGGCATATTTTTAAGGTGAAAGGAGAAAGATTTAAAACAGACACCTTTTTCACCTTTTTCATATGTGGATGAACGGCCAGAGGAAGTGGTAGATGTAGGTATAGTTACAATATTTAAAAGACGTTTGGACAGGTACATGAATAGGAAGGATTGAAAGGGATATGGGCCAAGTGCAGGCAAATGGGACTATATTAATTTGGGAAATTTGATCAGCTTGGATGAGTTGGGCCGAAGAGTCTGTTCCCATGTTGTATGACTCTATGGCTTTACAAACAGCATGATTTCAGGCTAACACCCACAATTTCAGAACCCCAGTTCCTGGACTCCACCCCATCTGACTGGCAGTTCCCTGCATTTGTGCATCACTTTATCCAGTATCCATAATGATAAATAAATCTCATTATCTCCATAATACAACTGGGCAAGCTTTCAATCCCAGAGACTGAATGGCTTTTCTGCAATTGTGAATGTTGATAAAAGAGGATTCCATTATATAAAAAGAATGTTTCTATACCTGCTGTCACCACGCACTTATCTGCTTTAAGTAATAAATGAATTTGGTAACTTCAAGGTTGTCCATTGTCATAATTTGCAGATATTGTTGGATTTCAGGATCAATCTTTATTTATTTGAAACTGTACTTTTTTGGGAATACTTTCTATATTGTTTGTTTGCAGTTTATAGTTTATTGATTTTTAAACACCTTTTTGCTCAACATTTCATTCCAGATGGGTGATGGTAGCAGTGATATGAGACTTGGTTATATTTTTTAGCTTAAGTGAAAGGCATCCCAAAGTGATGTTGTCACATCACTTACTAGAAGACACCACTGTTTAGATATGACTGAAGCAGGCAGACTAAAAACATTGAAAAGTAGCTGTTCATATCTTTTATAAAATGTCAGGTTTATTGTTGCACAATTACAGGGTTTTAAAATAATTTCCAATGGGAAACAGAATAAATGCTGACCATAAAGCTTATTGATAATCATATTTTGTGAATTTATGATCTATGACCTGTTTACTCAATGGTTCAATGGTTAGCATTGGTGCCTCACGGCACCAAGGACCCAGGTTCGATTCCACCCTCAGCTGACTGTCTGTGTGGAGTTTGCACATTCTCCCTGCGTCTGCGTGAGTTTCCTCTGGGTGCTATGGTTTCTTCCCACTGTCTAAACATGTAGGGGTTAGGTAGATTGGCTATGCTAAATTGCCCATGGTGTCAAGGGATGTGCAGGCTAGGTGGATTAGCCATGAGAAATGCCAGTTTACAGGGATAGGGTAGGGGTCTGGGTGGGATGCTCTTTGCAGGGTCGGTGCTAACTCGATGGGATTCCATGATTGTAATGTACACTATTCATATTCTAATTCTGATTTGCAGACAAAGAAACATAACAAGATAGTTCTTCAGAATTGTATGGAACCACAGGAGATAGGTGTTTACTGTGGAGAAGAATATGGAAGCTAGAGAACTTACGGAAATAGTGATATTTTGAAAAGAGTCCATATTAAAAAGGTGGTGGTGCTGGACATCTTAAAACACATAAAGGTGGATAAATCCCCAGGACCTGGATCAGGTGTATCGTAGAAATTTGGAAGGTAGGGAAGTGATTGCTGGGCCTCTTGCTGAGATATCTGTATCATCGATAGCCACAGATGAGGTGCCGGAAGACGAATGTTGGCTAACCAGCACCATTATTTAAACAAGGTGGTAAGGAAAAGGCAGGGAACTATAGACTGGTAAGCCTGACGTCAATGGTAAATATTTGTTGGAGAGGATTCTGAGGAACAGGATTCACATGTATTTGAAAGGCAAGGACTGATTAGGGATAGTCCACATGGCTTTCTGGGTGCGACATCCTGTCTCATGAATTTGATTGAGTTTTTTGAAGAAGTAACGAAAAAGATTGATGAAAGCAGAGCAGTAGACTTCTTCTGTATGAACTTTAGTAAGGTGTTTGATAAGGTTCCGCATGGTAGACTGGTTAGCAAGGTTAGATCAACAAAGGAGTGGCTGATTGAGTTTAATTTAGATATATGTGAGGTGTTGCATTTTGGTAGGGCAAATCAGGGCAGGACTTATACACTAAATGGGAAGGTCTAGGGGAGTGTTGCCAAACAAAAAGATCTTGGGATGCAGGTTCATAGCTCCTTGAAAATGGAGCCGCAGGTAGACACAGTAGTGAAGAAGGCATTTGGTATGCTTGCCTTTATTGGTCAGTACATTGAGTATAGAAGTTGGCATGTTATGTTGCGGCTGTATTCCTGTATCATCAATAGCCATGGGTGAGGTGCCGAAAATCTGGAGGTTGACTAACGTCGGTGCCATTATTTAAGAAAGATAGTAAGGAATAGTCAGGGAACTATAGATCAATGAGTCTGACATCAATGGTGGGTAGGTTTTTGGAGGGGATTCTGAGGGACAGGATTTACATATATTGGTTAGGCCACTTTTGGAATACTGCGTTCAATTCTGGTCTCCCTTCAAAGGAAAGATGTTGTGAAATTTTAAAGAGTTCAGGAAAGACTTAGAATCATAGAATCCCTACAGTGTGGAAACAGACCATTTGGCCCAACATTGGCTCCACACTGCCCCTCCGAACAGCATTCCCCAAGGCCTGTATTTCCCAAGTCTAACTCACCTAACCTAAACATCCCTGGGCACTATGGGCAATTTATCATAGCCAATCCACCTATCCTGCATATCTTTGGGCTGTGGGAGGAAACCGGAGCACCCGGAGGAAACCCACATGCAAATTCCACACAGACAGTTGCCCGAGGCTGGAATCAAACCCAGGTCCCTGGCGCTTTGAGGCAACAGTGCTAACCACTGAGCCACCGTGCTGCCCTTATTTACAATGAAATTGCCAGGATTGGAAGGTTTGAACTATAGACAGAGGCTGAATAGGCTGGGATTATTTTCCTTGGAGCATCAGAGGCTGAGGGGTGACCTTGCAGAAGATTATAAAATCATGATGGGCATGGATAGGGTGAATAGTCAAGGTCTTTTCCCCAGTGGAATCCAAAATTAGAGGGTGAGAGGGGAAAGATTTAAAAGGGACATAAAGGACAACCTTTTCACACAGAGGGTGGTGCATGTATGGAATGAGCTGCCAGAGGTGGTGGTGGAGGCTGGTACAGTTACAACATTTAAAAGGCGAAAGAACTGCGGATGCTGTAAATCAGAAACAAAAACAAAGTTGCT